CCGGTCCGGTTCGACCCGAACCGGCAGGCTTGCAGGTGGAGAACTGAAGCAGCTTTCCTCCGCTAGAGGGCGCCGCATTCAGGGGAAAAGAGGCTCCAAACAGCAGCAACATGATGGGAACCAGTTCATCACTCAGCAGGACATTATGGGATGCATCACCATGGCAACATCAAATCTACAGCTGGAGAATTTCTTCAAAATGTTAGTTACTGTTCTGGACCTGAACAGAACTCGGTTCTGCTTGCTAAGACACACGTATGGAGATAAATTAGGGCCATGTAGTTTTTTTTTTTCTTTGAAATAGAAAAAATGAATTTAAACTGAACTGAAAAAAAAATAACACGTGAAACACAAATGTTTTGAAGGTGAAATGTTTGAGGGTCAACAAAACATTTCCCCCCTCAGGTTAGAAAAAATGTTTGAACAAACTCCAACTTGGCTCTGTGTGGCAATCAGAAATAAAATCGTTTCCAACACAGGAAGGCAAGCTGAACAAAAACAGCAAGACTTTGTAAAAGCTTTACACAATAAAAACAAACAGTTACAGTTTGAGGTAAATGCACATTTATAATCCCAGTAAAATTAGAAAATATAAAATAAAATTTACTTATGATTACTTTAGGAATCTGATAATTTTGCAGCATTGAGTCATTAGCATGAATGTTCATTTCAAGTCTCTGTGCCATCAAGATTTCATCATTTCTCAATCTAAATATCTGGAGATTTCTACACATTTCCTCTAAAGGATTTTTCTAAAATTGCATTCAAGCTGCAGTTTATAACTTTTATAAAAATATTTTCTACATATTTGTTTAAACTGCCGAGACAATCCACTCTTCCTTCTCTGAGCTAACTCTAAACAACCAATCAGAGCCAGGAGGCGGGTCTTAGCGCCAGGGATGCCCCAATTTATCCGTGCTATGGGTCAAAATCACAATTGGCAGGACAGGATTTTTAATAGATCGGTGATCGGCCAGAAAACTGCAATTGGTGCAGCCAGACTTAGCGCTGCTGTGGTGCTGCTCATCTCCCCCCGCTCTCTGCTACACTGCAGCTAGCATAGGCTGTCATGAATGCTAAGGCTAGTTAGCATAGCCACTGACGATGACCAACTTAGCACATTTAGCGGCAAGTACATGGTGGTAATTAGCAGCACTAAGCTCCGTCTCCTGGCTCTGATTGGCTGTTTTTGGAGGAGATTGATGTTTCAGATGATCTGTCTCCTTACAATCTGTTAACAGTAACTATGGCAACAGTTTAAAGAAAAAGTTAAAAATCATTTTTAGAAAAGTTACAAACTTAATTCTACATGGAGAGAAGGCGGCCATTTTAACGCCGACTGCCAGGTTCTGTCCTCCACAGCTTAAACCTGTGGTTCAGGGGCCAGGGGGTGAGCGGGAGCGGCCGGCTGCTGGTCGGAGCTTCGCTCTCTGCGTTTCTGACGCCGAACAACGTAAACTCTGAGCAGAAACACGGCCGCCACCAGAACCACGGCAGCCCCCACCCAGACCCAGAGGAAAGGCCCTGACGGAGCCGAGGCGGCCCTCAGGGTGCTGTCACGATCTGCCGGGGTCACGACCTCGCCTGCTGCCACAGCGACACACCGCACCTGTCCCGTGAGCAGGAAGCCTCGGCGGCAGGAGCACAGGAAGCTGCCGAAGGTGTTGAGGCAGCTCTGGTCGCACTGCCCCATGTGGCACTCGTCGATGTCCACGCACTGCTGCCCCTCCAGCAGGAAGCCGTCCGCGCAGCGGCACTCCCCCGCCGCACACACGGCCGGACAGCTCTGCTGGGCGCAGTGCAGCCGGCAGCGCTGCGGGTCGCCGCTGTCCGGGACGTAACCATGGAAACAGGAGCATCTGACCCCACCCTCGGCGTCCGCACACTGCTGCTGGCAGGGGGCGTCGTTGCACCGGAAAGGGCCGTTGAGGAAGTGCTCCAGCTCCCAGCATGCATTGCTGTCCACGGTTCTGCACAGAAACCCATTGGGTCTGTCTGAACATGGCCGCTCCGTCCAGACCTGGTACTGGGCCAGCGCCACGCAGCTGGGCGAGCAGACCGCAGCGCCGGCCGCCCACTGGACCCAGGACGAGTTGAAGGTCTCGTTGGCGGAGCCGGAGGTCCAGCGGTACCCTCTGAGCGGTTCTACCGGGTCGCTGCAGGACCCGGCCGGCAGTCGCAGTCCCATCCAGAAGCTACCGGACAGAACCGGAGCCAGCCGGGCCAACAGTTGGTGGCTGCTCTGAGCCTGCAGCGTCAGCAGCTCCCCGCCCCGCCTGCGGCACGCCACCGCCGCCGAATCAAAGTCCAGTCCGGCCCAGTTCACCGTCAGGCAGCGGCCTTCAGAACACAGCGGCAGGCAGCCCTGCTGCCGGCCCGGCCTGGCCTCCAGAACCAGCAGCAGCAGAGCCCACAGCAGAGCAGCCATTCCAGCAGCCGGCCAGCGAGGTTCTGAGCCTCAACCCGCCTGAGGCATCCGCTCCGGAAACCCAGGCCCCAGCCAGTCCCGGGTGCCCAGAGAGCAGGAAGGAAGTCAGAGGCAGAGACCCGGATCGGAACCAGCACGGCTAAAACAAACACTCCCACTCTGTTCAGGGATCAGGTCACAGCTGGGCTGAACAGAACCAGCAGAACATTTAACTGTGTCCATGGAGGAACCAGGAGATTCAGAGTCTGAGAACAAAGCAGAGAGTTTAGTTAAAACCTGACAGATAACCAGCAACCTGACAGATAACCAGCAGCCTGACAGATAACCAGCAGCCTGACAGATAACCAGCAGCCTGACAGATAACCAGCAGCCTGACAGATGGCTGACAGATAACCAGCAGCCTGACAGATAACCAGCAGCCTGACAGATAACCAGCAGCCTGACAGATAACCAGCAACCTGACAGATGGCTGACAGATAACCAGCAGCCTTCCAGATAACCAGCAGCCTGACAGATAACCAGCAACC